TTTGACAGAAGCTTTTCAACCTTTGGATCGAATTGAAAGGGTCAAAAATATATTTCAGAGTGATAATAATCCGAGTGACACGTGAAGAGGTTTTAAAGTGACAGGCTTTGGCGTGAAAGAGTCAAGTTTCTGATCTGCCTCGTTAACGAGGATGTAGCTGGTTAATTAGGCTAATTATCACCTGTTCAGGGCAAACATGCATCCGGGCTCTTGGCTTAAGTAGCAGGCTCCCTCGTGCCTTGGGAGAGCCCCCGGGGAGGTGGCAGCTTCCCTCGCAGCCACACTGGGGCCTGAGGAGTCCCGTTTGGTTGGTGAGACCTTCCTAATCTTAGGTCTTCATAGCTTCCTGACGCAAGTTACACACCGGTTTTATGCATAATCGGAAACAGGCCTCTCTCAGAGTCTGGCCTAATTCAAATTACGTGGATATCAGTGTTTGCATGGAGTAGTTTTGGTTTCGGGGTGTAACTGCCTTCACTGAGTCCGTTTTTGTGACTCTACTCACACGCGTGCACACACACGCACATGCATGCGGAAGACAATGGCCAAAGGGACCCTGAGTGTCATCATAGTTAGTATGTAGCTGTCAATGTGTCTTTTCTATTTTTCAACTAGAGGAAACAGGGAGGGACTTTTATTTGCCACATGGTTTGAAGCTGCCTGTTTTGTTTAAATGTGTATGTAGTACTTTGAAATCTCAAAGAACGTGGTGAACAGGGTTACTGGGGTCACCGTGGGGCGTCTGGCATGGACTCCGCACCTCTGTGCACCAATGAGCCATCTAACTGCAAGTGATGCTGGGTGTCCTCCCTGAGCCCTCGCCCTGGCCAGAGCCCGGCGGCACCACGGCGCTGGTGAGCAGTTGGCTGCCGGCGGCAGTTCTCCCTCTTCGCTCGCCTTCCTTGTTCTCTGGGCATCTGTTCGGCCCGACGTGCTCGCGTGCAGTAGTTGAGCATTACAGGTGCCCTTCACTGGTTGTCTGGAAACACCTGTGCGAGTGCTTCTTTGGGTACAAGCGTGAGTGTTCCTGAGCTATGTTGGCGGCAGCTCGGCAGACATGCACACGGCAACCCTCCTGGGCACAGACCCTGTCTCGTTCTACCCTTCGTCTCTTAGTTTAGCCTCATCATTATTGAGTCACAGCAACTAACAAAGAGGCTGTTGCTCCAAAGAAGCGCGGCACTGGCTCTGGCCGAGTAACCCAGAGTAACCCAGAGCTGTTGGCACAGACGTACGCCGGTGCCCTCTCCTCCAGGCAGGCCGCACGGGCAGGCGCCGTCGGCCGGGTGTGTGTGCACTCGGACTCTGTGCACTCGTGTCCAGCTCCGTCCCTTTCCTCGAAAAAGCTTCTGTCAGTGACACAGTTGCATGCCTGACTTGCTCGATACAGTTGCATGTCCGAGACGATGTCACCACACGTGACATGTGGGGCCTGGGTCGGTCCCCTGGAACTCCGTGGTGACGTCTGACCTCAGGGTTAAACCCGTCACCAGTTCACCCCTGAGACAGGCGGATGCTGCGGGCACTTTGATGGGGTGGCGGTCTCACACCCTGCGCCTGTGCCAGTCTCTCCCGTGCCTGCGTCTAGGCTGGCTCTCTGGGGGGAAGGACAGGACCGTCGCAGCCGGACGGGCATTGCTAAAGCGACACACTCCACCTTGTCCTGAGCCGAGAGGAGGAGGAGAGGCCGTGAAAGTGGACTGGGACCCGTCTCACTGCATTTCACGAGCCGCAGAGCAGCAGGGTGCCAGCGCGCCAAAACGTGCTCATCTCCATGTGTAGGTGGAGCCGGACCGATTTTTATTCAGTTACTAATAAGTGGAATGAAGAGTCCAACTGGTAGGGTTTTTAAATGTTGAGATGATGTTTTAAAGTGTAATTTGAGAAGATAAGTAAGATCATGTTAGGACTCTCCGCTTCTGTATCACCATGGGAAGGCGACATTGAGGGCGCAGCTCCCAGTTCGAGCTGTGTGTTTCGACATGACTCGTCTGCCCGTGAGCCAGTCCCAAACAAGCAGGGTCCCTGCAGAGCCTCCCTAGAGCACACACGCCCGCGAAGGCGGTGCCGTCACTCACGCAGCCCTCACATGGCCCCTCCCCCAGTTCCGGACCTGTGCTGTGGCCTGTCGCAGGTTTTCTCTTTTTAGTTTAAATGGTAGGTGTTAGAAGAATTTGAGAAGTAATTTATTAGGTGAATGTTTAGGATACTGAAGAGAGGACCTGAACCCAGTGTGGAAACCATAGCTGTCATCACCGGGGGACGTGCATCTTGCTGGCAGGAGGCAGCTCTGTCACTCGCTGTGTGGCCAGCTGCGGTGATCCCACTGAGTGAAATGCTCACGGATGCTGAGCCAGCAGGGGAGGCCCCCTGGCATGAGAAGCAAGAGCCCGGGCAGCCCCAGCCTCCGTCAGAGATACGTCAGGGCACAGCCTCGCCACCCCCGCCCACCCCAGCCCCGTGCGGTCCCCCCAGGCAGCCCCAGACTGTGGGGAGCGGCACCGCAGGCTGGGCCCCTGCACTGCATGGTGTGGACTTGCGGGCTGGCCTTGCCCTTCCTGCTCGCTGCTCTGCGGGTGCCTCTCCCCCGGGCCTCCCTCCTTTGGCCTTGCTGCCACTGGGAAGCCTTCCCTTACCTGCCCTGGCCATTAACAGCTGCCTCTTTTAAGCCTATGATGGCATTTTACTTCTTTCCCTTTCCTTCTCTTTTCTCCTCCTCCTCTTTTCTCTGGCAGTGAGGTTGTTCGTGAATGCTTTTTCTCCTTCAGTGGCCTGTGGTTTTGCTGCGGGCCTGCCCAGCCCCTCACCCCTCTGTCCCTGCAGAACAGCACCTGGGGGGGAGCAGGTGTGCAGGCCTTCCACGGGCCCTGTCCCGGGTGCTCGTGGCCCTGCAGCACCTGGCAGAAGTGCAGGGTCCCTCAGCTCCCGAGGACGGCCGCCCCTGCAACGTGCTGCCGCGGGGGCACAGGAGCTGGGCTGCGAACCTGAGACCCCGCACAGGTGGGGTCCCGGGCAGCGCCCCCTGGAAGAAGGTCTGCATCTCCACATGGACTCTTCACGTCGGTCACTGGTCCACAGGCCGGTTTTCCTGAGGCAGCTGGAAAACACACAGGGTTTTCTGAAAGTCAGGCGGTGGCCTCGGTCCTTTGTTATCGGGCTTTTGTCATTTCATGACAGGCAGTAAGCTCTGGTTTAACATTTTTATTACATGTGAATAATAGAGTGCATATATTGAGGTTTCATAGATGTAATTTTGTTAAATGTACATCATGGTCGATTTAAAAATGAGGGATTTATTTTGTCATTCATAAAGTTGTAATACAGTCTGGAGAAACTATTTGTTAAAAGATAGCATCTACTTAACCTCCTTATTTATTTCTTGTAGGAGAAGGTTAGATCCACAATAAATACACGAAGAAATAAGTAGATAGGGGAATTTATCTTGGAAATAAGATCCCTGTCATGGTTTTGAAATGTTAAATGCATGAAGACCCGTCAAAGAGATATACGGATATGAAATTTTTTACAGTGCATTTCGAAGTATTTAGTTATATTTGTCATTCTGTAGTACCAGTAAGCAGTGATCACAAGATACAGTAATTTCAAAGTCAGTCTGAGTCAGTGGATGTAAATACAGTGTCTCACATTTCATAGAGATATTAATTGGCAATTTTAATATTAACGAAGCACTTAAGATACTTTATATATGACAGATCTGAACTATCAGAAATTTTTACTTCATTGCATTTAAGATCTAATGTTATAAAAACACAAATACAGATAGCAAATTGAGGAGTTTTTATAAAAGGTAATTTCATAACTTGATTAATAGGAATTTGTGAAATTCTGAATGATTAATATGATTAAAATAATCCACATCTGCCCCACACTGAGGAGTTAATTATTTGGATCCTGGGCCTCTTTGTCAACCTTTATGAGATGGAGGAGGTTTGTAAAATCATGGTTAAGGCCTTTATGCTCAGGATCCCCTGTCTTTACGTCTGCATACTCACGTCGTAATGTGAACCGGACATTGCAACCCTGTCTCTAACTAACTTGCCAAATGCGTGCACCAGTTGATGATGGCGAGTCAGGCTGCTGTTGTCCCCTCTTCTGTGGCCTAGAGCTTGTCATTCCCCAAAATGTCTTAGTTTCCAATGTTGGGTTTTAATGTGCTTTTATTTGACGGTTCATTATCCTGAATTAATTAGCTAGACACTGCTGTACCAGGTACGGGGAGGGCTTTAACCGACAGTATTGAAAACTAAAAAGCACATTGGGCAGTGGTCCCATGAAGACCAGCGAAGGGAGGCAGAGGCTTAGCCAGAAGGGGCCTCCGAGTGTTTGTCCTTGGTTCCTGTCGCCGTGCCCATTGGTGGCATCTGCGCCCCTGGACTGTGGGGCTGGGACATTGTCCAGTGCGAGTGCTGTTCTGTCGTTGTCGGGCTTTTTCTCACGTAGGAAATAATTGAGGTTTATTTTTCTCAAAGGCTTATTTGACCAAGGGTTGTTGTAGTTTTGTGTTTATTCTCATCAAAGTCAACTTTTTAGGCAGCCGTGTGGTGGCTCAGAAGGACCCCCGCCCGGGGCTCTGTGCGGCCCGGCGCCCCTGCTCCCACCTGGCGGCGGCGGCGGCAGCGGTGCCAGCAGACAGGGGCTGTCTGAGCAGTTTAGTGTGGACGGCTTTTCATTTAGCCTCTGCTCTGACAGCCCGTGCCCTGGATAAGTGGCGTCGGCCCGCGCAGGTGAAATCTATTCTCACATTTGCCTCAGGGGTGACTGGACTGTAACAGAATTTTTCAAACCCGTTGGGCCCAACCGCAAAGCAGAGAATAAATGGCTGAAGTGCCAGGCCTCGACAGCAAAATCAATGCCTGGTTATACAGACATGACAGACCGGCCTGCAGTGCCCCCGCGCCCGCCGCGCCGCGGGGCTCTGGCCTGTGCCTGTGGGGGCCGGGGGCACCGGGCTGACATCGTGTCTTCTGCCCTCCCCGCAGGAAGTTCACCTGCCACTTGTGCGACCGAAGTTTCACCGAGAAGTGGGCGCTCAACAACCACATGAAGCTGCACACGGGAGAGAAGCCCTTCAAGTGCACCTGGCCCACGTGCCACTACTCCTTCCTCACGGCCTCGGCCATGAAGGACCATTACAGGACCCACACAGGTGGGGGGCCCGGCGGGCCGGGGCGGGCGGGCAGGGGCGGGCGGGCCGGGGCTTCGGCAAAGTGGGTCTCCTCCGTGGGAGCTCATTGCCGCCGTGTGGGTCCGTGTGGGTCCGGTGTGTGGTTAAACACACTTCGTAGGGGGGATCTCCACGGAGGTCGGGGGGCAGAACACGTGCATCTTGCCTTTTGTTACTCAGACAAACTCCTGTCTTTTTGTTACTCAGACTTGCCTTCTGTTACTCACCACCATATTTTTGAACAGTATTAAACCTTGATTTTTTAGACACCATTTAACATTTTTTAATCCAGTTAATATTTCTCTTAAGAGGTGAATGCTCTCCAATTTAAGAATTTTTGATAATTTACACAGAGACTCATCTGAATTCAGCCACTATAAAATTTTAGATAATAATACATTTAAAAAGTACAGATTCACATACACTTATATCAGAACATGTAAAGCCTGCGTGGAATTTAAACACACGGATGGAGAGCAGCACCCAGTGCCCCTGTGTGCGGCACGTGTGTGGCACGGCTCGCCATGTGCTCGGCGTCTGTGGCTTGTTTTCCTGACCTAAGGACGGGGACCTCGACTCCCTCCAGGGGCTCCCTCCCGCCCCAGAGCTGTGGCTGAGAGCTGTGTGGTGTTTTGGGGGTCCTCTTCCCACCTCTGAGAAAGGATCGTATTTCAAGGAGGAAAATAAATTTTAATCAGCATTCCCAAATGTTCTTCTGATTGCCAAGAATCCTCTATTATTGTTAGAAATTATAGGTTCAAAGTTCTCCGGGAGCTGTGTGTGGAAGCCGGGCCTCCTTAACTCCCCTGACAAGGGCGTTGACGATTTAAGGTCTCCGGCCTGCCCTGAGAGATCACTTATATCGAACAGCAGATGAAAAGCCAGTGCAGATGTAATTTATCGTCGGCGTTTCCTTCTAAAGAATAATTGTGGAGACTTGGCTGGATCAATAATATGGATTTTTGTTGTTGGGTCTTGTAGTCTGCACTGTAATGAGGGGCAGGGACAGTGACTGTTTTCTAATAGAAAACAAGGGATTGGTTTCCATGTCTCTGTACCTTTGAATGCAGAACAGCACATGTGAAACTAATTCAGGTTGTTAACAAAAGTCTCCTACCATGTGAATGTGGCATGTTACAGGAACCCCTCACACGGAGTAAAACACTGCATTTAGTTCTTAAAAATATTTTTGAAAAATACTCTGTTGCCCCCTCACCAACGCTAGGCCTCCTGCCCCTCAAAAAACAAAACCAGAAAAAACCGGTAAGTAAAAACCGAACATAGCATGACAAACACATCGAGCCACCACGGTAAACTCACACCCAAGACACTGGAGACTAACATGCAGATAAAAGCCTGCACGTCAGAGCTCAAGGTCACCAGCGCTTCCAGAACCAAGTCCCACAGAAGAGCAGCGTCGTCCATGTGCTGGTGCAGATGTTCGCCCAGGGCAGGGCACCCAGCCGAGTGCACTCGTGCGGCACACACGCCAGGAAGGAGCCCCGCTGCCAGGGGTCTGCTGTGTGGGGCGTGCCTGCACTTCACAGGACGAGGGGGACGGGGCGACCGCCTCTGGGGTCGGTGGCAGGCGAGACGCTCCGGCACCGTCTCCGCTGCCACGCGCTGCCGGGTGTGCGTGTGTGTGCACACCACACAATGCACAGTCTTTGTGCCCACCAGACGGCAGAGGGGGCAAATCGTGGAGAACGGTTGTGCCTGCACGTGGAGCAGTGTGTTAATATTAATGAGCAAATTATCGTCGGGGATTTAAAAAAGTCTACATTCGGTGTTACTTAATTGATAATACAGCTGGTTAGAAAGATTTATGTTTCTAATTGATTAAATGATTAAATGAGTGATTATAATTAAACTTTATTCTTCACAGCCCATCTACTCTATTCCTTTTCTCTGTATTGAAATAGTGATGTCAAGAAATAAACTTAACCCCAAGATAGTAAAGTGAAGATAGGTAAATGTTTAAATTCAGCTTCATTTTATAGATGATAATAATGAACGTTTGAACATGCCCCTGTGAAGTAAGATGAAGCATAACTTGGCGAAAACTCTCTTTATTAATACAGGTTTGCCTGAGCTAGAGAAGCCAGGCTCGCTCCTGCAGGGAAGGCCTCTCTGATTGATTGCCCGACCTGTTCTGCCTTCTCGCAGGCATGTTGCTTGCGAGCTCCTAAAGGCATCCCTGCCTCCCAACCCCCCAACCCCCCAACCTCCCAACCCCCCAACCCCCCAGGCCAGGGCTCCACTGTGATGCACCCAGGTGCTGGGAGTGAGGAGCCTCTCTCAGACCCTTGGAGCCGTGTGGCATTAAAACATCTGAATGAGTGAGGTAGATACAGAGAGGTAGGACTGATGGATTTCACTTTTGGAAAGCCATTGTCTGATTTCACTCCCTCCAAGGTTGGCATTTTTGTTCTCTCTGGCCCCGCCTCGCGAGCCTGTGGGACACGCCGCCCGGCTTGCTGGCACTTACTGTCTGAATATGCGGCGGTGGAGAGATAGATTGCGCTTATAACAGGTCGGGCGAATGTTAGCTTGTGTACAAATGCTTTCACAATGAGCGTGCACACACGTGTAACCAGCCCCGAGTCTGCCGAGTCTGTCTAATTGCTGCAGAGCTTTCCAGTCCCAAGTTACCATTAGAGATGAAGGAGGGGAGTTTTTGTACCATTTCTTCAGCGCCACGCGACTTCCATCTCTGTGTCCCCGGAGTGTGAGCAGCAGCAGCAGCATCGACCTGCTGTGGGTGATGAGGAAGGGGAGACTTTATTGTTACTCGGGATCCTCTGTGTGTTCCCGGAGACCATTTAATTCACATTATTAAGTAGGAAGTTATTAAAGAAGACTCTGATAGAATCAGGTAAAACCAATTCAATATCCTTCAGTAGTTAGACAATTCAATAGGTTTTATTTAAGCAGAATCATATATACTGTATATTAACTATTCCAAGCAATCTTTACTCAGCTCAGAAAGGCCAGATGTATGGGAATTGTAAAAAATCAGGATATGTATAAAAACTGTTCAAGTGCATAAAGCAGCCCCATCTGGAAGACATCCACCAGAAATGAAGTTGTACGAAACCATTCCATTGATAATAAAGCTAATTTTTATGGGTCTGACAAGTATGTAATTATGTTCAGTGGTGCTTTTCAGATTTTATCACAGTCAATAAACCGCAGTGGTAATTTCATTCCCATTTGACATATTTACATGGAAACATTTGATTGGAGGAATTAGTAACCCTGAAAGCCTTGATAGATCTGTTTTAATGATCTGTGACCCCCTTGGTCCCTCATGTGTTTGTCGTCGCAACAGGCGAGAAGTCGTTCCTGTGCGACCTCTGTGGCTTCGCGGGCGGGACGCGGCACGCCCTCACCAAGCACCGCCGGCAGCACACAGGTGAGTGTGGCCCGGCCGCCGGCCCCGCGCCTGGCTCCTCCGTGTGCCCAGCAGCCCTGGGTTCAGGGTCCCACTGGGAGTCAGTCCTGGTTGTCTTGAGCCCCAGCTCATCCATTTTCATGTCAAAGACCAGGCCCACTGCACGTGGGCCAGGCATCCCCCGTGAGCTGGTGCTGGCCAGGAGCAAGAAGGGTTGGGCCTCCAGAGCAAACACACAGGCTCTTCCAGAAAGCCGGCTCTTCCAGAAAGCCGGCTCTCCGGACCTCGCAGGGTCACCTCGTCCCTCGCAGGCCCCCTCTCAGGGCATCTGCGTCTGCTCCACCCGCCCCCTGCCCAGAGCCACCTCCCCGCCTGCCTGCAGCCTCCCGGCCCTCCTCCTGCTCACCTGCCTGGCCACCTAAGGCCCTGCCCGGCAATTGCTCTGTGAGTTTGATGAATGGTGTCGTTCTAGGGCATCACCTTTCAGTCATTCTTGCTCTTAAGTGTGGATAGCAGCGGGGAGGGCAGCACAGGGGAGGGGGACATCGAGGGGCTGCTTCCCGAGGTGCGAACTCTCGGGGATTCAGTGCAGTGACGTGATGCCTCATTTCAGGAGCCCTGTGGGGTGGGAACTTTTGAACATTTGTGAAAACCATTTACCTGCGTGGCATGCTGTACTAGGTTCCGTGAGTGATTATTTCAACACATAAATTATGTGTGTCTGGGACAGTGCTGTGCTGGCACCGCCCCTTCCGGGTGTCAGTAGAACCACTTTTTACTCTCAGAAGTGACCTAGTGTAGATGCTAAGTCAGGCGGCAACACAATTTGTAACGAGATGTTGAACGAGAGGTACCATGAGAGGGGCTGAATTCGGTACATTGTGATTCTAGATAGGAGTTAACTTGGTGTCTGTAAGGCCACTGAAAACCCATGCGGGCCATGTCTTTCCTCTACGGACGGAGCCCCTGGGCTTCACACGTCCCTCTGGGACCAGCGCTGTCACAGACCCGGAGAGAAACCTCCAGTGTTGAGCAGAGGAGCAGCGTGTGGCAAGTCTCCAGAAGTGGCCTGCAGCCCTGCGTTGTCAGCCCAGGGACGTAACGGGTCTGGGCAGAGGGGCACGGGAGAGGTTCGGGGGGCACTGCCCACCCCCTGTCCTGGAGGAGCTGGCCGCAAGTGGGCGTGCAGGGCGTCGTCCCCCGGCCACACCCGGGGCCAGGACACCTTTGCTAGTGCGTGCCACCTTTGCCAGCGTGGGGCGCTCCTACTTGCCGGCCCCGGGGCTAGTCATGCAGTGATCACAGGTGTTTACGGGGCTGGGGCTGGGGCACGACCAGCCAAGTGGGCAGCTTTCTCCTTGATGTCAGGTCCAGAGGCTCCTTGTTACTTTGCTGTGAACTTGATCCACGTTGGACAGTGTCTCCCAGACAGAGGCGTCTGTCTTTGTGGCATTTGTCTGCCACTGTGGCACAAATCACACATGATCCTTTAATACCCAAGCCAGTTCTGAAGACGGTTTGCTTCAGCTGAACAACTAAGCACAGCTCAGTTAATATCCTGGATCTCTGGAATTTAAGCAGCACGCGGCTTGTTCCCTGAAGGCCAGCATCATACGGCATTTGGCCAGCAGTTGAAGTCTGCTCTGTTCCTCTTTGACGTGGTTTGCCTTCTCACTACGGACAGTGCACACAGGTCACACTCAGCTCAGGGAGGGCAGGGGCCCGCATGTTCCAGGCGGCGTCAGTCACTCCCTCCTGTGGTGCTGCTGTCTGGGGGCTGACTCGGAGCCTGCTCAGGAGCAGGTCTTTACGTGGGGTTGGAGGGCCTCGGCCAGCTCCGGTGCCGCACTGCCCAGAGGGACACCACCTGGGCACTGGCAGGGGCGCGTGGGGATGTCCGACCGCTCCCGCACACAGGGCTGCTCGGCCCTGCGTCCCGGTGCCCCGTCGTCTTCCCCAGACTCGGGCAGAGGAGTTGGAGGCTCGGACTGTTCCTTCGTGGCTACTTAGGCCAAGATGACCGCCCACAAGAAAAAGAGTGAAGCCCGCGCGTCATGCCAGGAGAAACAGGAGGGACGGTGCCGTCTCCTTTGCTCTGCTCTTCGAACAGGGTGCACTCAGCTCCTGTCGTTCAGGGGCAGTCCGTGTCCTGCCTCCGGATTTACGCAGCGGGCTGGCTGTGCCGTGACAAAGGAGTCATCGGGCTAGTCCCAGGGCACCCAGCAAAGCTGACCTTCCCACCAGCATGTCCCTTCACCAAGTGTGTGCTCTCCAGAGAGGGCCACCCCCTGTCGTGTGCTGGCAGGTGGCAGGAGCTGAAACCCTTCCTGACACCTGTAAGGTCTGCTCCCACCTTTTACTGTCCAGGAGTTGGGTTTGCTCTTCTCCTTTTGTCTGTGTATTGAAACTGACAAACAAGGAAGTACGCCTGCATTTCCTGAAGAAACGGTCATTCCTGGCTAAAAAAAATAAAGCCAGTTACCATGTCCAAGCGGTTGTGTTGAACATGCCCCAGAGTGAGTGCGCCGCACACGAATTGCTGGGTGCGGGCCTGAGGGAGCTGCAGCTTATGGGAGCTGCCCCTGCAAGCTCGTCCCGAGGGGCTGCTGGAGCTGGCCCCTGCTTGACGGTCGTGCCCCGGCCACACTTGGCAGCCTGTGTGTGACCCTGCCCTTCTCACCACCGCACACTTTAGTCTGCGCTGCTGTTGAGTCCAATGGGAATGAACAGCGTTCAGTGTATTGCAGTAGTATGCTGGCTTACTGTGAACTTCACATTAACAGAGTTACAGAGAAGACAATACATGGCAGTGTTCTTTAAAATTATTGTTTTAAAATTTAACTTGTATGACATAAAAATGCCATTAGTTTAAATGAGAGAAACATTTGTCACGTTTTTTGAGTCCTCATGTTAAGCCCCCAAACCAAGACAGTTAACCTTCGGAGGGTTGGGCGGCCTTCAGTTTACACCCCCGACTCCGACAATGTGTCTGGCATGCGCCCCCCCCTCCCTCCCACGCCAGTCAGAGGCGCAGCAGGTGGGCGTCGTCCACCACGGCCGCCGCGGCAAACACACCCACAGCAAGTCACAGAGTCAGGACATTGTTCCAACTGAGGCTGAACGCAGTAAGGAAACCGCAGGCTGTGTGTGTGCATTGGCTTAACTTAAAAAGTCTTCGAATCGTCGGACCACTTGGACTGGTCACATCGCAAGTCGAAGATTTGTGCTGCCGCCCCGAAGGCTCGTGGAGCTGCTGTGGTCATGGCAGCACCGCGTCGGCACCCGGACGGGCCGGCCAGTTACACACCAGGAAACGGACGTTTTTTGCCAGTTTATTGGGTTGACCAAAAAGTCTGTTTGTTTTTTCCCATAAAGTAAAAGACGCATTTTCCATTTTCACCAATAACTTTGCGGATTTGCATACTTTGAGTGTGTGGGCTGTCTCCTGTGTGGGAGAACACCGATCGCACCGATTGTTCTCAGTTAATGTCTCGGTTTGATCACCGTCAAGTTCAGCTGGTCCACCCGACCGTGGAGCATCGTCCAGTGAGGAGGCTCCAGCACAAAACTTCGCAAACCACTTTTGACGCGTTTGATCAGTCACAGCACCTGCTGCATGTACTGCACAGACCTTTCTGTGTGTTTCAGTTGTGTTTTTACCTTTCCTGAAATAATAAAGCATAATATGCCAAAAATGTTTATCTTATTCCATCTTCAATATTAAAATGGCTACACAAAAATTCACCAATTTTGATGTCTTTTTTTAAATGCGGGCTAATATGACAGCTGTCAAAATACAGTAGCAGAATTATTTCAAATGACGTTAAAGACAGCTAGCTAAGCACTACGAGAGCCATCTTACAGAAAAAACTAAATGAACTTTTTGGCCAACCCAGTCTATCCAGATGATTTCAACAAGATGTCAGTATAACATTTTTATCAATACTTTATTACTTTTTGTGCTAAGAGTTTGAAATGGGTGCATATTTACACTTCTAGCACCTTTCCACCCGGAGGCTGAGTTTTCACCTGAAATCCATGATCTATGTGCATTTACATCTGATCAAACCTACCTCCCATTCCGAGTGGTCCCACACCGACTTAAACATTCTTTCAATAGGTGAATCCAGTATCCGTCTTAAAACTTAAGTTTACATTAATTGAAGTTAAATAGTCACATTTCAAGTGCTCACCAGCCAGTGTAGCCGGTGGAATTCTTTGAATGTGTGTAGGAAGGGAGGTGGGTAAAGGGCAGGAAGCAGCCGGCACAGGGCCAGCGGTGAGTCCGCGGACCGACTCGTGGTGAAGCGTGTCCGTGGGCAGAGCACGTGTATGTGCCCAGTGGGGGTGGGGGGAATGAAAAGTGCTGGGAAATGTTATTTTAAATGTTTCTTTGAAGCTTCTGTACCTTTGATTCAACTTCGTGAGCTGTAATTTCTCTTTACTTCTCACGGTGTTTTCATTGGTATCAACTTAGAGCTTTATCGTGTTATTTTTCTCTTATTTAACATCTTAATAAGTTTTATACTGTATATTCAAAGTATATCTTTGATAAGTGCTTTTCCCTGGTTTTAACCTCATTGAGATTTTTATATTGGCTCTGCTGTAACACAGTTTGTCAGGTGTCTTCAAATACAGTGCTGGGCTAATAATTTAGTTTCCTGTTGCCTCAGTTACGTTTGAACTAAAGAATGCATACCATTCTTCCGTTACAATGTAGAAGTAAAAATCGGTGGTACCTTCTTTCTCACTCTGAGAGGAAATATGGAAATGACCCAAATATGTGTAGTCCATTGAACTGTATCACTAAAATTCCATGGAAATAAGTTTCCTTTTCATTGTTAATAGCAGGTCTAGGCCTGTGGTTCCAACTTGACTCACGTGCCTGCCTCTTGACCTTCGCAGGAGAAAAGCCATTCAGATGTGACGAGTGCACCTTCGCATCCACCACCCAGTCTCACCTGACACGGCACAAGCGGGTGCACACGGGCGAGAAGCCCTACCGGTGCCCCTGGTGTGACTACAGGTAAGGGCTCCCCCCAGAGCAGGGGGCAGGCAGCCCCAAGGGCCACAGCGGGGATGGAGATCTGGTCGAAGTCACGGGTACAGAGTCGTTTGTCAGGTCAGCCTAAGTCAGCACAGTTTAAAAGTGACCCGCTGATCAGATTGGGGATTCACTTTACCTCCCAGTTTTAGTGACTGTTTTTAAAGTTGAACAGTTCTTCTCCATTTGCAACGTTCTCTGTGTTTAGGTTCTATCGTCTTTGGGCACACCCAAATTTCAAGTGGTTTTCTTCCTTTGCCAAAGTGAGGAGCTGTCCCAGTCTCTCAGCCAAGCAGTGTCTCGCCTTGAAGGAGTGAGACGCTTGCCCTGGCAGTGGATGCGATACTGGACACACTTTCTGTCCTTAAGGAGGTGCTAGCAGGATAGGTGACCAGTACTGTACAGAAGTGCTTACCATGCAGAGCCACTGGGTGGATTGCAAAGCCAGGGGCCCGTATGGAGAAGGACGGAGTTCAGCCGGAATGCAGCCTCCTAGGGGAGCGAGGGTCTCCACCAAGGCTGAAGGGATGGGTGAGCTTCAGACACACGGACGTTCTGCGCGTACCCAGGTGCTCACAGCCCAGGGCAGCACTTCTGTGCCCAGAGTGTGGGAGGTCATGTGTGCTCATGAAGCCCGAGGGGCCCAGTGGTCCCCTCTAGCCTGCAGCACTAGTGGTGGGCAGCAGCAACACAGGTGCGGCGAGGAAGAGGCAGTTGACACCACTGTGGCAGCGTGTGTGCGGGAGAGGGCAGGGGATGTAAGCCGAGGAGTGAGGTTGCACTGGAGCCTGGGCATGACGTCGGGGCCCAGGAGGGTCGAGGCGCCCCAGGGTGTGCAGGGTGTGCTTGAAGTCTGTGCTAGGCGCATTGCCAGCCGACGGTGGGGCCTGAGTCGGAGCAGGGCGTCCTCCTGTGGAGCCGGGGCCTGCACGGCGCCCGCTCCTCGCTCCTGGGGCTGCAGGGCGGCCTCCCGGCGCAGCTGCCTCCTGGCGGCCGGCCCCCCTGCAGCCGCGGCCCGCGGTGAAACGCGGGCCCCTGCATGCCTCTGGATGTCGTCGGCGCTCAGTAAATATATTGCCGTAATCTCTGTTATTATCCTCATTACTGCATTAAGTTGTATTTTAAAGGTCATCTAATAGAACAGAGATATTACAGATATATTTCATTCATTAATTATTCATTCTTTCAACATTTTATGAGTTCCGTCTTTGCTTAACAGTAGAACGGTGCTCACTGGAAGTTTGGTAAAACCGTGGAGCAGTTAGAGGCCGGCCTGGAAATTGCAAGGCACCGATAGCATGAGTTGTTTAACAAACAAGCATCATTGAAGGTTCTTTTTTCTTACTAAAGAGGCCGTACCGTGTAGTTGCCTTCCCTGTAAAGCATACAGCAGAAATCACAAAGTTATAAAAGCTTCCCTTAGTCACCACTGTAGCTGTTAGGATTGTGTCTTTCCAGGCTACGTTTGAGTTGGTGTTTGGGGCTTCTCTCACTCTCTCTCTTTCTATCACTCTGCACATTTAAATGATAACCTCCCTTCTGTTCCACTTTCCTCGTGTAACTCTGGTTTTAAAGTGATTCCTGAGTGCCAGAACTGTTACTGCAAACAAGATCCTGACCTGAACAGGCCCACGCGTGAACCTGGCCCAAGCGCAGTCTCCCGCCATCAGACCGGGGTCGGGGGCAGACTCTGGAGCATGCACAGGCCCCGGGAGTGCGCCAGGCCAGGCGGCTTTTGCTGGCAAGGTTTGGAGTCAGGTGGTTGTGGCAGTGGCAGTTGGCCGCCAGGCTGCAGGGGCCGGTCACCCCCCTCAGGGGCCACCTCCACCTCTGCAAAGAGGGGTGTCAGGGTGCCCGCCTCATGGGGCTGCGCTCCCCGTGAGATGAGGAACTTCGGTGTCAGTGCGCAGTGCTGGCCGGAGCCCTGGCCCACGCACCCCGACGGCCTCGTGGGGCCTCAGCACCCTGGCTGAGGCCAGTCACCCCGAGGGCTGGCGGGTGGTAAAGTGTGGTTATAATGGATGCCTCGGTGGATTTGTTTAGTTTTTGAAGTTGTTAAAATTTTGCCGAATTCAAAATTGATTGCTGGATAATTACTGAAATACCTTTGAGTTTCCAAGGGCCTGGTTTGCAGACCGCTGTTCTGGAAACAACGTTAAGACTTGCATGACCTCCAGTTAGAGTGATATACAGGGCTCACGTTATTAAATTGTTAGACATTTTAAGCCAATTTTAGGTTTTCACTCGGAACATTCTTCTTCCTAACAAAATGTTGGTTCATATCCATGATTTCTGGAAGCAATTCCTAGAAGCGTGAGCTGAGACTTCTAACTGGCAGTGTTGCTGCGAAGGTCAGGGTTGAATCTTGTCCTGCAGGTCAGGACTGTCTTAGGGGACGCTCATGCCCTCGTCCGGGTGTCCTGGGTGTGCAGGTAAGTGCGGTGCTTCTCCCCTGAGTCGGAGGTTGCACCACACGTCCACATTCCAGTGACCTCCCTGAGACAGCGTCACGGTGCTGGTCACTGTGCTGGGCAGAGTGCTGGGCCTGGGGCACCAGGCCCTGCGGTGGCAGGAGAGCACGTCTCCCTGGGACACCGTCCCCGTCCCTCCAGTGAGCACTCAGGACGTGGAAGTCTAGTGGTCTCTGCCAGGTTCCCTTTTGAAATGCATCCAGTCTTTGATGACAGGCTGATTCTGTCTTTATTTAAAACTTTTAAATGACTTGATTATTATTGAAAGTGAAGAGTTGGCACATTTTCTGTTTGGGTGAGTTCCGTCACTCTGTGTCCATACAGTTGGCCTGGGTTCACTAGTGAACAAGAGACCGGTTAACTTTGACCAGGAGTACAGAACACATGCAAAATTTATGAAGGCTTTGTAAGTTAGGGATTATGAGTGAAATGTGGAATTTACAGCACATACCCGTGTTTTTTTGTTGATGAGCAAAATACTAAAAATGAGCACTTAAGTTCACAATGGTCATTCGGTCGCTCAGCACAGCAGAATGCACACCACGCTCACAAGAACAAAGGAAGCGTCTCCCCTCGGCGTACAGTGTATCTGAGTGGGCGTGAAAACACCTGTACGTGATCACAGGTTCTCCAAGATTACATTTGTGTTGTGGCACCTTTCTGTAATATTTTACTGCTTAAAATATTTAATTAACTTTTTTCCCACTTAGGTTTTTATTTATTTAAATACATGTTCATAAAAGTCATCCCTGTAGGGTATTCCTATCTGTGCTGTCCAAATGCTTATTTTTAGGTGACTATTATTAGAAATTGCAGTATTATTTCGGTTTCATTGGAAAATATACTTTTCATTTAATAAATTGAACATTAGGAGAGAAATACTAGTGGTAATAATTATTCATGAAAAATGTGAATATAGATTTGTTTACAAAAGAATTTTATAATTGGTCCTTTGAACCTGGGGCTATTTTTCAAGTTTGCATTATTAATTTAGGCACTGACATTTCATTCTATTTAGATGTAAACATGCACCCCTTTCCTAAGCTTTTACTGTCTAAAATATCCAAAAGTCTAATCCATTACAAATCAGTATATTTCATCATTGCTCCAAAATTTTTTTGCCATTAATTATTATTCATTATAACCTCAAAGCATAAATTGAGATTCATAGCACACTGTCCTATATTATTTATGCAGCAAATTTGTTAGATTTGCTTCCACATTAAAATGGAAACAGCCTAATACTCTTATTTTTATTTCCCTTTGTTATGTATTGTCACTCCTGTATTAAGGAGAAATAGAAAAACCTTTACTGCGTTGTAGAAAGTACCCTCTCTAATGATGCAGATCTGTCTCCCCGTAGAGTTTATCAGTCTCACCCTGCGCCCTGCTCCGCCCAGGGTCCTGGCCTTCACCCAGTCGCAGGCGGCCCTGATTGGACTTGACTTCTGCGTGGACCGTCTTCCCATTGGCGCCCATGCTTCAGTTTAGGGTTTATGGGGGAAACACAACAAACACACATCAAAAGTGAGCTGCCGAGAGGCCATGAAAAGTAACAGAAAATCCTTCCTGCAGTACTGAAAATGCTGAGGGCGATCCTATGTTGCACTTTAATTGTCATTTTGTAAGTTAAAGAGAACTCACATTTTGAGACCGGTTCTGACCATTTGGTCATGCGTGTTTTGCATCCTCGTGACAGACCGTGGAGGCTTGAAGACGGCCTTTGGCCAGATTTCTTTCTCAGCTGCCTTAGCACTTCCAGCCGTACACATGCTCTTTAAAAACTTTCTTTCACTGTGTTCCTTTTCATCCTACTCACTCTTTTTGTTCTTTTTAATTACGTGGAATTATAAGCCCAAATAGAAATATGTTGTAGAGCTGAGAGTAAAATCTGTAATTCCTGCCTCGTAGTAAATATTTACTCCATTGTCTTGCTAAACTTATAGGAAATGCCCTTTGGGTTTTTTCCGACTTGATAGTTTACTTAGCTCTTGGCCAGTGTGTCCATAGAAGTCACTGACACATTAGGTTCCGATTTCAAGAAGAATATTCTTTCCCTTTTCTGGTGAATGTAACATTTAATCCAGATGTGGTACCAACTGGAAATTTGCTTTTTGTAGTGCATTCTCACATCTAAATATTTTGTTTCGTATTTTTATGATGAATTCAGTAAGTTGCCACACTTCAGAGTGCCGTAGGCAGAATGCACGGTTCGTCTCCGCCGTCTGAAGTGGGTGTGTATGTGTGCAGCCTAGAGCTCTTCTGTCAGATGACACCTTCCGTTGCATCGAATTGCACCTTAACTGTGCGTGGTGCTGGAAGCATTTTGGGGGTAGTGTTACGATGTAAAGCCAAAAGGCTGTATTTGTAATAAGTCTTTATTTCCCCTTTAACAGTCTATATTACCCTCTCAAACACATGCCTCTGTAAAGTGTCTTAGTTCTGAAAAATGTTCAGGTGTCAGCTGACACTGTGCATCTTTACACAGTGCACAGCACGACGTTGTGTGTG